GGGCGCCGCTGCCGCAGAGGTGCCGGGCAGAGCAGAGCTTGTGGAGCCCCCAGTGCGGGGCGTTCCTGGGAACCCCGTACACACTTCTATTGCAGCTGGGCATGGAAGGCCGTGCTGTGTCCCTTAGGCAAGCATGGGCCTGCCATCCAACGGCCGGGGTCTTGCCCAAGGCCTGGTGCCATCCTGCTGCAAGTGTCCCCGCGCCCCGGAGGGCGTCTCCAGCCTCAACTTAGGGCATTCCCCACCGTGAGTGGTGGGGCAGGTCCGGGCTCAGCCTATCGGCACAGCCAAGGGAACAGCGACTCTCCACCTCAAGCCACCCATCATCTCTACCTCTGGCACTGTCTCCTCACAGAAGGGGAAAAACTGTCCCTGAGGAATGCAGCGGGAGAAGTGCGATCTGAGCAGCGCTGTCTTGGTTGTGAGGGAAGGAGAAAGAAGTGAAAACAAAGAAACTTGACTGGAAAACCAGGCAGGTAGATTGTGATTGTGACAAGGAGCAGCCCCAGCTGTAGTTGCAGTCGTGCAGTTTACAGCAGGATTAGAGAGTGCCCTGACGCTCAAAGGTGCTGCTGAAGCAAGCATCATGTTCTTGTCTTTCTCAGCAAGCTTCCCTTCCGTGCTGCAGACGTGGTTTCCCCATGTGGATTTACGTTTCTCAAAACTGGTTTGTACAAAATGTTTTTCCAATATAACTGTCAGGACTGAGAAAATGAGCTGCGGAAGCCATAACGGCGACAGCTCCCAGCCCGCTGCATGTAGGTGATGTATCAGTGGTTCCTCCAGCACTGTCCACGGCCAAACTGCTCCGTGCCGTGCATTGAGGCCTCACACAGCTGTGCTGAGTGTTGCACATGGAATACACGCACCTGCACGTTCTCGCTAGATCGTGCCCTTAATTTGTGTAGCAGAAATGCATTCATTTCCTTCCTGGTTTCTCCTCACAACCACAGATGAGGATGCTCAATTTTCTCTTTGCCTTGTGTAACTCCCATCTGTATTGAGACAAAATACACTCTTGCACTGAGAGGTGAGTAAGCACTGAGTGTAGGTGTGATAATGTGTTAGCAGTTGCTGTGCTTTTGACCATAAGTATACATAGATTCACTCACTTCAAATAGAATTTCACAGGGATGATAGCAACCTTTTTCTCTCCTACAGTAAAAAGTAAGCATTCAAAGCCCATCTAGAACAACACACACTGGGAAATTTGAGAACTTGAGGCCTTTAGATTACTGCTTGTCTAGGAGTTGACTATCTGTGGGTGAAACTGATTTAGAAATAATATTCTCAGTAGCAAATGTGGGAAGTTAGATTACGTGACTAAATTGTATGATCTTTTTTAACCATCTAGCAAAAAAACTTGCATGATACCTCAACTGTTGAGGCAGTTTGGAGGCATTTTTTAAATCTGCCCCCCCCCCTTTTTTTTTAAATACCTGCAGCTAATTTAATGTCATAAATATTTTATTTTTTAACATGTTAAAAAAGGACTCCTGAGTGCAATGGTAAAAGTGCTAATAGAACTTCTGCTGCAAATTTATCAGGTGAGTTGGATCTCAAATACACTGGAGCTTTGAGGGGGCATGTTTCCAAGTTCACAACATATTTCCTTCTGTCTCAAGGATGGTCCCTGCTTTAAATTACTCATGCTCTGTTGTACAGACATGTTAACAGTTGAGTTGCACAAGAACAACAGAAAGTTTGAGATTTTAGATCATTTGCCAGCTGACATTCCAGTAAGATTTTACAGGAACGTAACACATGAAAAAGTCATCCTGTGCATTATCATTGCTGCTTTATTAGAGCAACACCCACATGCCCCACCCCAAGTGAGGATTACAGTCTGCTTGAGCCTGTGAATATAGGAAGGTGGTTCCACACATTGGGTTTATGAGTTTAATGTACTACACATAGAGTAGAGAAAAGGACATATTATCATCAGTATTCACTGATGGGTCATTACTCTAGGAAGAGATCCTGTTTCAGGTTGATATTAAGTGTTTAGCTGTGTTTACCACATTTACCTAGTGTAAATACTGGTTTACTTGGTGTTTACACGTAGTACTGCAAAAACATGACTTGTCCAAGATCTGGCAGGAGGCCCCTGACAGAGCTGGGAGCTAAGAGTGTCATCAGTCACTATCCAGTGACTATCCGTCCTTTTATTGCAGAAACCCAATAGTGATGGATATTATTTTACCTGCAACTTGATGATGGCAAACAGGAGTCAAACTAAAACCTTCATCTGAAAAGGTACGCATCTGCTTCCCTTGAGGAAAAGAGATTATCCATGTGTTATTGATACCGGCATGTTTATGGCACACTATAGAGCGTTTCTCATACTGTTCAGTTAAGCTTACCAGTACGCACACACAGCTAGCAAGTTCATTGCAATACAGTCTTTATTAAGCACTAGAATGCTATTGTTTGCTTTTTTTTAATTCCTTTTCTGATCAGAATAGTTTGGAGTAAGCAAAATAAAATTAAAAAATGCATAGGAAATTGTGCACTGGGTAATAAAATGACTGAGCTCTATTTGCCGAACATATTGCTTCCCTTTGGAGAAACTTGTTTCCCCAAAGAACCAGAAAAAAAATGTGCTTCCTGGTTTTATTTTCTTTGGTGTTTCTGTGATGACATTTT